TTCATTACACAGCGTGCCTTGAGAATACTGACTAGTCTTCCTTATATCGTAGTGCAAGCTGAATCCTTGGGTTTCTTTAAATCAGAGCTATATAAAATTTTAACAACTCTGAGCTATTAGTTAAGTTCTCCCCAAGCGAGCTCGATGGGCCGAATGGCCTCCTCTCGTTTGTATAGTTCTTATGTTCTTATGACTGACCACATTAGATCGTCCACCCACTATTGATTAATCCCCTCATGTAACACCTCCACAATAGGACTAATCCCCCGTACCTTGCCTTCACCAAATGACTAACCCTCTTTTATCATGCCTGCACTATAGGACTAATCCTCTTTTATCATGCGTCTGCTGTAGGACTATTCCGCTTCTGTCATTCCTCCACTATAGGACTAATCCCCATTTTCAAGCCTTCTATATAGGATTAATGCATTTGCCATGCTCCTGATGACTTGTATCTCTAGTTGTTTCCTGCCACAATCTGCCATCCACCTTCAGCTAAACCTCCAGGTCACGTGCTGCCCCCTTCGAGATCTTGGGCCCACGCCCTCATTCTGACAGAAGCTGTTCTTGCTGCAGGTGCTCCATCCCTTTAGTTGCACTTTTTTGTTCCCCTGAAAGTGCTCCCTGGTGATATGGCAGAGGACCCTGCAGTGGAAGAGTTTAATTCTCATTACTATTGAAAGAATTGCTTACCGCAATCTGTTGCAAAAACACCATCTGTTGTATCACTCCAAGGACTTTGCTTGCTTATTAAGCAGAATTATACAAATGATTTTGATTCCTCTGATGTTGTTCTTTTTTTCCACCACTCGCAACTGTGCATAACAGTTTTTATGGTTGTCCCCCAGCGGGGTTTATGTTGTGCTGAATTATTACATCTTTGTAGATAGCGTAGCTGCTAATGTGGTTAACCCTCACGACACCTGTCTTGTCCTCTGCTGTCCTTGCTGTGCCTTTAACCTGCAGCTCAATGATGACATGCTCATGTGTCCTCCTCTTCATTCCACCTTGCCGGAGTGAGTGTTGTTTCTCACGGGCGACGGTGGTATCAGTCCCCAAGCGCTTATTGCTCAGGGCCATGCTGAGCTGTGTCATGCTCAGGTTATTATTCTGGAGCTGGCATGCCATCCTGCACCAAGCTGAGCTGTGCTGTTCCATCTGCTCCATGCTGCCGTGCGGAAAGTGCAGTTCTGCTGGTGCTTATTATTCATCGCTGTGCTGAGCTGAGCTGAGCTGGGCTGTGCTGTGCTGTGTTGAGCTGAGCTGAGCTGAGCTGAGCCGGGCTGGGCTGAGTTGCACTGTGTGTAGCTGGGCTGTGCAGAGCTGGGCTGTGCAGAGCAGAGCTGGGCTAAGCTATGCTGGGCTGGGCTGTGCTAAGCTGGGCTGTGTTGAGCTTGGCTGTGCTGAGCTGGGCTGTACTTCGTTGCATGCCGGTATGATGAACCGGGCCATCCACTTCCCTGAGTTCCTATGTGCCGTGAGTTCTCTAGCCCCTGGACCTTGGACCATGAGGCCCATTTACCTTGCTAGATGTATTACACTGTAAACTTTGTGTTTCCAGGTGGGAGCGAGTCCTCTTGGGAGAAGGAGAAGCTCCAGTCTCCCCCCACCAGCAGCACCCAGCTTGGCCAGTCCTCTTCCCAGCTTGGCCCACTGCAGCAGAACCATCTGCTTACTAATCGTGAGTCCAATACCGCAGTACTCCTGTCGTCTTCTTTGTCATAGGTTCCTCTCTTGAGCTCTAGTCCCGTCTTGCTCTATAACACCACACCTCTCTCTCTCTCTCCTCTCCTCCATTTCTGGCTTTCGTTTACTGGCCTCACTGAACATTGTGTCACAGAACAGCTGAAGGGCTGCTCTCTGAAATGTAGAGTCCTGCTTCCTTCCTGCGCTCAGCCTTCAGCTGCTGGCCTTTCTTTGGTCGTCCACCGTAGGTCTTAAATCTGAAGCATCCACCTGCTGCATTTAGCAGCCATTGTGAAAGCCTCATCAGTTTTATTAACTTCATCCACACAAATGACATTAATGACCTACGGTCTTCATTGCCTGCTAATGTGGCAGCATTTTGGTTGCCTTGAGGCATGTAATCAGTATATAATAGGGCATATAATAGCCCTGAAGTATGTAAGGATATAACAGACTGGGGAAAAAAAATTATTTATATGCGAATTCTGATGTAAAGCTGTGAAATGCACTGGTATTTAGCACAAAAAATGACGTTTTAATCTACAGGGTATACTAACTATCCATCAATAGATATAAATTTGTTTTTCTGTTTCATAATCTATGTTTTTTTCCCTTCATATGGAATTGACTATTCTGTTTCTTTCATCCATTTATTTCTTATACTGTACATTGGATTTGTTTTTTATGTGAGTTTAAAATACTTGAGGGTAAAATAATGCAATATATCCATTAGGATATATATTTATGAAATTACATGCCAGGAATCTATCTAAAATGAATCACATACTTATTCCATTTTTATTTTGTTTCTCTATGAAAAAGGCAAAATTTGAAATACGAGTGCAAATTTTATTATTTTTTTAGTTTTCTAGTGGAAACACACATCTCAGCATCTGTCTTTCTCATTCTCTCCCCTCTCTCCTGTCCTGTCTCTCCTCTGCTTTGTCCTCCATCTCCCCTTGGGCAGGGCTGGACCTGCCCTTCATGCTGATGCCCCACCCCCTACTTCCCGTCAGCCTGCCGCCGGCCTCCGTTGCCATGGCAATGAGCCAAATGAACCACCTGAGCACGATGGCAAACATGGCCGCTGCCGCTCAGATGCACAGCTCGCTGTCCAGGGCTGGCACCTCAGTCATCAAGGTAAGAGGGTGCCGGCGGCACCTTGGGCTCCCGTAGCCCCTATCGACAGGCTCATCTTGCACACAGCAGGCAAGCGGCATCTGCGGCAGGCTGACACAGGTTTGTGGGCGTCTGCAAGAGCAGAGGCCTAGCTGACGGTGAGTGTTTTTCAGTTACTCCATGGTTAACAAGAGTGGTTAGGCCCTTCTCTGCAGGCTGGACATCATCTCTGAGGATACTGCAATAGTACTTACTGAGTACTAAATCAGTGTGTTTTCAGTCTCTAACAGACAACAATGGACAATGTTAAATACGTTATCTGTGTATTTTTTTATGAATATATTACTGCATTGTATCAGAATGGTTGTGTAAATGTGTGAAATGTTTACAGATATTCAGTTGAACTGATCTAGTCAACAGCTGTTTAATTATATGCTGAGGTGTACTGAATACCAGCTTATGCAGCGGTAGCGTGATGTGTGTCTGTTAATTACTAAGAGAATGTAATATAATGATCATATATTTATGTATGAGTTGCCTGGGTTCCTCTGATGTTCTCCTCATGTGAACCTGGTTTAAGAGCCGCCTGCTCCCTGAACAACCGCAAGTTGTGCCGATTGCCTGTTTCCTGCGATGCTCTAGTCTGCTGACTCAGGCACTCTGGTTCCAATAGGAGGGCTGTCATCGCTCAAGTCCTGGCAGGTGTTTGAGGATGTGTGTCAAACTTGATGAGTCTGAAATGACGGCGGCGAGGTGGCACAGCAAGCCTTTTCACAGGACTTAAATGTGATCCACATGCCCAGACATACCTACGGGTGTCAATAAAATAAAAACAAAAATTAGTTAGCGTTGTCTGAGCAGCAGGTGGCAGAGTGATTAACAACATCTGTTGATGTCACAGAAGTTCTTCCTTCATGTACTGTAGCATATTTAACCTGAAAGGCTTCATAAACACATGGGCTTTTCCTGCAGGAGCGTGTTCAGGACAGCCCCTCCCCGGCTCCTTCTGTGGAGGACCCCCCCCCACCATCCTCACACCCGAGCAGCAGCGCCTCCAACTCGCCGTTGCCGAACCAGCAGGGCCCTGACCGCCTGTGTAAGTTGCCCCCCCGATCCACCCCCATCCTCTCTCGGCTGTTGACGCTACCTGCATCACGTTTTTATCCTGTCTCTCCTTTCCTCTACTCGGTATAGCACCATTTTTTCACGCTTGTTCTATGTTTTACTATCCATTGATTCTAAATTTATCCAATTAGCATCACACCTTGGCTGTATACTTTGAACTTTTGTTGTCCTTTGTTCACTTGCAGATAACTCACAAATGACTGTTTGCTGATTATATGTCAGTCGACCCTTCCACATCGAAGGGGTTAGGGTGCAGGCCCCTCGCAATCTAGAAAAACTACGTAATTTTTTTTAGTCCCCTTGGCGAGTGAAGACAACATATGAGATATGAGAAACACAAGATACAAATATCACTGCGAGATATCACGTTAGAGCCTGCTGTGCACACGCTTGGTGTCCTCTAAACAAGCACTGTACATATATTTTATGCATTTGTGATTTATTAAACTATTGTGTGTCATTTGTTGGCCTTTGCATATGGTCTTCGCAAAGCTACAAAAAGCATTCCCATTTAATTTCTATTGCCAACCCTGCAATGGGGAAAGGTGCGCTGCTGAAGAGTTGACTGTATGTGTGTGGCTGCATGTGTGTGCAACTGACTGGCTTCTCCTCTTCTGCACTTGGCTTTCTGTCTGAATTAACAGTTCTGAATGTCCCTTCTGCAGACCTCAGAGACACCAATAGTGGGGTCATACAAAACACAGTGCAGGAGAAAGGTGAGTCTTATTAATGCAATTACTTGTGTATCAGTGAATGTTCAATGTCCAATTTATGTCTGTCAATACTTGCATGCCAGTATTTTTATGTATTTTTGTAAGTTTGTGTGTGTGTGTTGGTAGCTGTGTGAGCAAATAAAGAACAAGAACAATAGACTGCAGGTGAAGGGTCTTCACTGATGTTAGTACTGGGGTTGCTCACTAAGTCACGCAACTGCAGCTAAGGTCACCCCCAGCAAGAAGAACTGAGGTTTCAGCGTGAACGGTTATTTCATACACATACTGTGGAAACATGGCCGTTCTTGGCATCTGTATTATGTGTGTGTGGGGGTTTAATGTTTTCTGGTCAGCTGGGGGTGGGAGAGAGTGGCATTTGGTGATGATGGGGGGTGGGTAGAGGTGAGGTAAGGAGGGCAGGGAGGCTAAAAGGCGGACACTCCAGACAGAGGGCTGGAAAACCGGACTGTCCTTACGAAATCCAGACGAGAGGTCACCCTACTTGCAGCATTCTGCAGACTAAACACACCCTCTTCAGCCCATAACTGCTGTTATCTAGAATGTGGAGGGGCGTAGCCACATGTGAACATTAGGCTGAGATGACAACAACCTGGCTGGAGGCTTCTGGAAGGATACCAGTTTCATGCTTTTAATACCATACTGATTAAAGTTAATTTTAGGTCTTTCTGGTGTACACACCCTAGATAAATAGTTACTGATTTTATTGCTTTTATATTTTATTGTCTTATTTGATCATTTTTTCTTATTTTTATTATTATTTTTATTGCTATTATAATCTCTGAATATTTTAATTTCCTTGTAGCAGGTGCTTCCTTTTCAGTACAATCCAGGTAGGAGGTATAACTATGCCCATGTAAAGTATGTTTCTGTGTATATGAGAAATAAAACCTGAACTTAAATTTTCATGAGATAAGTGGAGCTAGTTAGATGAGTATGAGGGAGGCAGGTTTTGAACCTAGCTACAATAACCAAATACTAAAAGCCAAATCTTATTAAATGAAAACATAAAACGTTATTAAATGAATCCTTGGTTGGAGCTCCATCCTGGATAATTCCGGGACAAGCCCCAGACCTCCGTAACCCTGCACAGGAAAATGGGGGGATGGATAAATGAGTGCTGGTTTGATCGGAGTAACGTGACTTCCCTGTATATGACATAATCACATATATGTATGACATGCTGTCCTGAGCAATCTGTAAATCCAGCACTTAACAGACAGATAACAAACATCTGCTTGCAATCAGTGTGTCTCTCCGGCGTCACCAAATTGGCCGCGTGTAAATGACTTGGAACGGGCCGCTTAGTCTGTTACAGAAAACTAAAGTGCCGCAGAGCTCTTTGAGATAATCCTGCTGGTAAACTGGTAAAAACAACAGTGTGAAAGGCCCTCACTGCTTCCTCGGATGTCTCCTTTTTGCTGCCACTTTCTAAGCTAAAAGTGCAGGCTTTCAACTATGAAGAAATGGCATGGCTTCAAAACTGATGGCTTCTTAGCATTTTTTTGCTGTAAATTAGTATGGGAGTGACATGAATGCATGAGGTGAGCTGGGTTGCACTTTTAATGTGTCCTCTGGTGTCAGAATGGAGGGCTTGTTAACAAAACACTTTCCAAAATGCGCCAGAGGAATGCACACATGGTGCTTTAGAGATTTCTGATTATTTAACTGCCGTCTGTGACCCCTTCACATCCCTTGCAGCTGGTAGACTTTCTAAACTTCTTTTCTTTTAAGAATGGAATACTGCTTAGCTTAGCATTAGACAAAGCATTTTATCTTTATGGGAAAACAATATAAAAGCTCACCAAATTAATGTATTTTAGCAGCAGCTTGTGCAGGGGAGCGGGTTAAACTAAGGTTGGTTCAATATTAAAAAATGATAGTGATCGAGTCATGGCAGCGTGTGGCTCAGCTGAGTTGAGGGCCCAGGACTGACGGGAAGCTCACGTCAGGTTAGAGGGCAGAGGCAAGCATGCCTGAGGCAGGCCGTGCCTGGTACCTGAGTGACACCTGCATGGGTGATGAGCGGCCGCCGTGGCAGCACCAGCCGTCCACACAGGGCCGCCTGTCAATCCACGCCAGACTGTGGCGTGAGCTGAAAGGTTGGGTCCCGACCCCACCCCTCCTCATCTTTAATGCTCCACATGGCACTTTTCCAGAGTTAATTGGGGGAGCAAAAAAAACTAAATCACTTCATTAAATCTGTTAATTGTCATCTATTTCTGAGACATGGATGTTGCACTTCCATCAAGCTGGCAAAGGAAAATGTTGCAGTTGTCTTAATTAGCTTTAGCAGCTACTTTCAAAATTAAGTTTATTTTCAAAATTATGCTTTATTTTCAGAAGCAGGACTCATGGGGAAAAAGAATGCACTTTTTAAAATAAATGTAATTAAATTGTAATTTACTCTGGGTATCTCCAAACACAGCAATGAAAATAGGTGTGCAGTGTCTCTATGCAAGTAATTACCATTTTGGGGAAGGCTTTATAGGACAAATTTGTATCTATTATTAATTAATTAATAATTGTTTGTATAAGAGATACAAAAAAAAATATTATGTGGATAATATATTCTTGGACAGCTCTTTATCCATGCTCATAATAAAAAGCTGAAGTATACTGAAGAACCGCCAAAAAGATTTGGTGATTATTAGGTTGATGCCATCCTTATAGAATTGTGGTATATAAAATATTTTAATAATGAAAATGCATTTAGCAGCAGGGCTCTGTTAATCATGCTGTGTGGGGAATTATCAGTTATGCAGGGTGTTACTGAAAGAACTGACTTGCTTAACTTTTTCAGTTTGGCAGTGGCACAAGCATCTGTACACATCTGTTGAGTCTGGGGTGTGTATTATTTTTTCATATGCGTAATTAATATAGTTATTTTGTACTTTTTGTTCTAAAGTTAGCTCTGTTGGGCTACAACATATTCCTCGCATGTTGCTTCCCAGTGGTGAAGGTGGCACAGTGTCCCCAAACATAAGGCATCATCAGGGCCACACTAATTAACCCACTAATTAGAATCTTTTGAATATTCAGCAGGATCACCCCCTTCCTAAATCCAGGGGAAGGCAGGCAGGGGAGAGGGCCGGGAGAACTTTCCGGAGTAAATGGTATGGTTATTACAGCGATTCTCGGCGGAGGGTATTTTTCCTGCCTTCTTTTTTTTCTAAGCAGCATTTCAGCTTCAGCATCTGTTCACCCAGATGGAGTCCGATGCTCCCAACTCCAGTTAACTGTGGGGCCCTTCAAGTGAGGTTGCCGCAGAGGAAGGAGTCTGAGCTGAGGCTGAAAAGGCTGATTGGGTCGGTTGTTTTGTGCTGAGCCAAGCCTGGTTTATCTTGGGTGTTTTAAGTTACATGGGGTAATACTTACAGTAGGGCTTCCCGAGCCCTGGTCTCGGTACCAGTCTGAGGCTAGTACTCCAGCTGGCCGTGGAATGCTGGGTTTTCTGTAGAGGGGTTGCTTAATTTCCAAAAATTATCTACACATTTTCTACTTTTTACAACCCATCATGTTTGTTTGCATCTGAAAAAATGAGAACAGTTAAACTGCTGAAATCACCTATTGATCCATCGGCAGTCTTCCAATGACTTCAGGCACTAGCAACGCTGATTAAAGCAAATTTTATTAAGAAAATTATTTCTATTCAAGTACTGCTGTGTTTTTAATGAGCCTAAGTGAAGATCCTGGTGCGCCTGCATCTGGTGACATACTCTTAGCCTGGGTCCTGCTTTGTCAGTCTATCCTCTGGTTTTCTTTCATCCTCTTCAGGTTATGCTCATTTTTGGCTGCACTGAGCTTTCTTGAAGTCAGATAGATCAAAATAACAAACATTCCACTATTGATATCAGGGAGGCAAATGAGGGACATCTGGGAGTGGGGGTCGTGGTTAGGCTTGGGCAGTAATACATTGCTTTTTAAGATGCCACCATAATAACGTACATCATGGTAATTCCTGGATTGTATGACGGCTAGTGCTTTCTTGGGGGGAGGGGGTTTGCTGATGACAATTTGCTGATGGAGCTGAGGGTGCTGATGGTGTGGTGCTTTCTTGCCAGCTATTTTCATCGCCACTGATGGTTCGACAGATTTCTGGGAAATTGTGCATCATTTGCAGGCATCAGGGAGTTGCGGGCATTTGAGAAAGAAGACTCCCAAAGCTTCTGGGACACATGGAATGTCTGATATAATATTAGAACAATATCAGTACAATCCCACACTGTGTAGACTAGATTATATATACTGTACTGTGTGTGTCCATGTACATACTGTTTGTCTGTATGTCTCTGTATTTTTATACACAGGTGTACTGTATGTACATTAGGGTGATTTTAAAATGGCTTTTTTTCATGCACTTGCCCTTTTTTCTCTTAATAACTGACAGTGTTTAGTTTCACATCAGATGTGAAATGTGAAAATATGTGAAACTTAAATTTATGACAAGTTAATCACAATGAAAGGCGACATTTCAAAATATTCTTATTGCATGGTTGCTAACTGAATTTCTTTAATAATGGTATTTGTCATGGCCTATTTTTAGTTTAAATGAACCAAACTTTAAGAAATACAGGTATAGCTGCTGAAAAAATAAAATGAGTACAGAGAAAATAAAATGAGTACCGAAAAATATGGTACAGAGCACCCTTGATGCTAAACTGGAAAAAAATAATAAGATGTTTAGTACATTTTTGCTAACAATCAAATGAATGACCAACAGTGGATGACTAAACTAGGCTTTAGCCATTCAAGCTGCTTGAGCAACCGCTAAACATACTTGAAAAATCATCAAAAAAATCCTGAAATGTTTTCTTATATAACATAACAAAGTTAGGGGGTGAGAATATTCCAATTTTCATTTTTAAGGACCACCCTATCATACTTGATGTGTATATCTGTGTAACTTTGTGAGTAATACTAATGGAAGGTCTGTCCTTCTTCTGGTAGTAGAGGAGTCTCAGTTGGCCCTGCCCATGATGAAGCCTGGGTTTGACAAACAGGCCTTGGCTCCAGGTTTCCCTGCCACTTTTCTATTTGCCGATGGCCTCTCATCCATGGAGACTCTACTTACCAACATCCAGGTACAAAAAGATACACCTCAGCAACACTGAAATGTGCTCCTACTGACCATGTCATGGACAATTAAATGCTATGTGTAAATGTAAAAGAGACTGGCAGTGATATGGTCCTGTGTTTATGGGAATGGTATGTGAGAAGGTACGTGTTCACGTTTGGATAACAGGTCTTTCCTCATTTTCAGAGCCTGCTCAAGGTAGCAGTGGAAAATGCACGAATGCAGGAGAAGCAGATCCAGCAGGAGAAGAAGGAACTGAAGATGGAGCTTTTCAGAGAACGAGAGATGAGGGAGAGCCTGGAAAGGCAGCTGACCTCAGAGCTTCAGATTAGAGGTAGGTCCTGTTAAATGGTATAATTGAATTCTAAGGGAAGATCAGAAATAGCATTGCTTGAAATTGAGGTTCACTTTATGGAGAAGTAAAATAGAAGATCTTAGCAAATTAATGTTTAGGAAGTATTAAATGTAGTTCTCTGGAATGTTTGGAGAAAGTGGTCAAAATACAGTGCTCACGCTTAGAGACTCACACTGGGTGCCCTAGGGGCCTCCTTTGCCCACCACTGATCTTCTTCTTACAGCAACCATCCAGAAGCGGCTGAAGCGGGAGAAGAAGGCCAAGCGGAAACTGCAGGAGGCACTGGAGTTTGAGTCCAAGCGTCGGGAGCAGGTGGAGCAGGCACTGAAGAGGGCCACCTCACCCAGCAGCCTCTGCGAGAGTCTCAGTGGTGGGGTCCTGCATTTTCACCCATCCTTCTCCTTTGTACCTATCTATCTGCTTTCTCTACTTCTCAACTCAATAAATCGAACTTGTAGCAGCAATTTCTTACAAGAATTAGGTAAATCTCCAGAGCACTTTCAGCTTTGAAATTGAAAAGCACTTTACAAGGAATCAAATGGGTATATGCATAAAAATTTTTATGCATAAAAAATATTGGGCCTCATTCACCAACCATTCATACAAAAAAATTTGTTCTTAAACCCCACGTACGCCCTTTTTTACGAAGATTCTGACATTCACCAATGTTTTCTTATCTGAATTTGTTCTTAGCTAAGAACAGAATCTACGCACACTCAAGACCATTCGTACGCAAATTTGAGTAATGATAATTTGCTCAAAATAATCGGTTATAGCAGTTTTGTTCATTCTACCAGGGTTGGGGCTATTCCGGAATGCATTGATCAATTCCAGTCCAAATCAGGAAATGGAACTGGAGTTGAAACTTAAATCTCCCTGAAATTCTAATTCAACTCCAATTCTGTTCCCTGTAGTTTTTTTTCCAATCCCAGCTCCAGTTCCATTTCCTGATTTGGACTGTAATTGATCAATGCATTCTGGAATGGCCCCAACCCTGCATTCTACAGTTCATAAAATGAAAGTATTTGAATAATTTATAAAAGTAAAATACAAAAATAATTTTAAAGTGGCAGTAACGGCGATCATGCGGATTATAAATAGGTCTGTTTCTGCGCATTGGCCTGGCTATCAAAATGGCATTTCGTTACTTCTTGAAGAGCTTGCCAATCATTCTCTGAGAAGGGAACGCATGTTTGAAGATCATTTAGATTTATTTGGCACACAGCTGAAAACATGGAAAGATATCACCTTCTCTGTGAACGCTTTCTTGGGGGCTTTATATCCAATGGTTACGCTACTAAATAACATGTGTCTATTTGCATTTACCTCCTGTACAGTAAGATCCAGTTATAACGGACTTCAAGGGACCTGACAAAACAGTCCGTTATATCCAAAGTCCGTTATATGCTGTATGCCCAGAACACAACTACAGGACACCATTTACTCATGCCACACCCCATTATATTATTATAAATTATTATATTGTACATGTAGTAATCCAACTTTACCTCAGCAGATGCGTTACTATTAATAATCCCGACTACGTATCTGCGCTTGACATCACCAGCACGCCACGCGCCTTGTCGGCGGAGCTGCATGTCCCTATAGCCAAACAAAACTACAGCTAAAAGCGGCGCTGGGGACTAAATTGTTTGTCCATAATAAGCAAAATTCCGTTAAATGCGAGTCCGCTATATCCGATGCGTTTTCTGCATGTTCTTAAAGGCGCACGGCCAGGACCAGCGGACCTCGTCCATTATAGATGATATTCCGTTATAAGCGAGTCCACTATAACAGGATTTTACTGTATTAATACTTCTACTAAAGCATTACTGAAGTTTTTTTTCCTCTTAGTGTCAAGCGGCTCACAACCTGCGTGCCTCTTCGCCATTCCTTGCACACGACCCTACAGTCTCATGCCCTTTTATGTGAAATTGCAGGGCGTTTCCCTATGCTAATTAGGACAAACTGGCACGTGCTTTCAGTTACAAAGACGTGGGATTCACCATTCTTAAGAACAAAGGTGTGAACAATTTTGCTACTTAAGAACACGTCCTAAATCCGACGTAGGTTGTTCTTAACAAATTTCACAGGAACAAATTTAAGAGAAAATATTGGTGAATGAGGCCCACTGTGTTTAAATCTGGACCAGTGATGAAATATATTCTTATTGAGATGTGATTCTGAGTGAATCTGAGAGAAGGTATAATGAAATTGAAGTGCTGTTCTATTTTTCAGTGACCCTTCTGCTCTTCTTCAATTCATTTTTCTCTTTTTTCCTTCTTTCTTCCTCATAGTCCTTCGTGTATCTGTCTTACATATTTCACAAATATTTCATTTTAAAGCATAGCAGTTAATGACAGTAAAAGGTGATGATGGGGGAGGGGAGTGTCTTAAAGATCAACCTGTTATTCATGTTCGACTTGTTGGCGACTTCTGGTTTAGTCAAATGTCACAGTAGTGTAAGATAGATATTTAGACTTGGTTAGTGAAAATGTGGTTTAATATATAGATATTCATATAGCCACTATATGTACAAGTGTTTATTGGTCACTGTGTTGTGAATGTAAGAGAAATTTAGTATATACTTAAATGGTGCATGTGGGGAAACTAAGTCCATGCAAGTATGAAAGACTTGGGTAATTTGGAAAACAAAACAGGCTTTATTGGAATAAGTCCCCTTTTCAGGGAGTACATGAGGGGGGAGACTAGGAGAGTAGGTAAGTGCAACAGAAACAAAAAATAAGACAGGGTGGGCAACACTGTCTCATGGGCTTGACGTAGATGGGCAAAAAAGAAGGTCACCTGACCCAAAGTATAGATGAACAGCTGTTTTATTTTGTATAGGAGTTTAACTGTTTTAAATGTACAGATCAGTATTTAGTTGATATGGGTAATTTTGCCACTCCATGTGTCTAACAATTGTTTTACCTGTTGTGTATTTTATGATTATATGTCATCTCTAGTTTTTGTCTATTAAAGCATTGCAGAGCCCCCTGCATTTTAAATAAAGATGCTTTTTATTCATTTGACCGCAGAGCCAGTGCTACCAGAGGTAGAGCCAGAACATAATGAAAGCCAACAGGAGAACTCACCTGCACAAGGTACTAACCCAGCTGTCTGCACTCAGCAGCTGCCAGTCAGAATCATGGGGCGCTTCAATCACTCAGGGGCCTTGCCCAGAAATTACAGAGACAATCTAAAACCAGCATAATATCATTCTCAATTTTATTCAAACTGACAAGAATAATCAGTCATTGAGGATGACCACCATTTTAGACATACAATGATCTAGTCTGGAACACTAGTAATCTGTATTTCTTTTTTGGTTTGTTTTATGCAATGTGAAGTACACTGTTTATTGTTTTTACCCTTTGGCGTAGATGGTGCAGTTCTGCTTAAATTGTTGTCACTTGGGCATAAAGCTGGCACACACAGCTTCATTTATCTCTTGTTAGTCCTGCAGCTTTGCAGGAGCATTGCAGCTAGGCGGACGATACAGGGCTAATTCCATGAAGGCCCGGCTCAATGGTCCCAACTGCAGCACTCATAAATAAAGGACACTAGATCTGTTCTGCTCTCCTACATGTTTTCTAGATCTTAGGCAGTCACCGACTTGTACAAAAAGTGATAATATCCTCAAGGCGAATATACACATTTTGTACACAGGCATACACAGAGTCACACTCACAACCACACTTACAACACATACACGTGTTTGGCCATTACATACACGTGTGTGTGTGTGTGTGTGTGTGTGTGTGTGTGTGTGTGTGTGTGTGTGTGTGTGTATGGCTGGGTGGGTGGGTGGCTGTGTATGTGAAGGGGTAGGCTTGGTTGAAGCTAAAAAGGAAGGAGGAAGAGGAGATTTAGAAGAAGGATTAATTCAAAAAGAATGCAGATGGAAGGAATGAATGAAAGGTGACTAAATGATCAGCAATTGCAGAGATGGAGGGCTGTGCTGGGGTTAAAAGGTGGGAGAAATAGGAGATGAATGAGAGGGACTGGGACAAGGTTAAAAGGAATGAGAAAGAGGAGAAAGAGTGGACTGGGATGAGTTAAAAAAAAAAAACAAAGAAGATGGAGGTGGATAGGGCAGACTGGGAGGAGGTTGTGCATGTGAGGTGCGTCAGCCTTGTGATGTGATCTGTGCTGAAAGCTAATGAAACGAGCAAATTCATTTGGAAAGCTGGTAACTGACTATGAGAACGTCAGGGCAATCAGTGAAAGAGAGCCCTGTTTGCTCTCTGAAATCCAGTAATTCAGTGGTGACTGAGTAGCAGTGGATTAGCCCTAAATTACATCACTCAATACCTTAGAGCTATACAACATGAAAGAACAGTAGAACGCACACACACACACACACACACATGCATACAGTACACACATGCATATACGCAGTTTCTCTCACAATCTCTCTTAATTGAAAAAATATTTTCCTCACTGGATTACACAGATTCTCCATACATCTGGTCTCATTTTCTCACACACACACACGTCCTGTCACATTTATTCATGTAGTCGTATAGTTTCATAATTTTTTTCTTATGTATGCACACACACTGTCTCTTGCATGCAAAAACTGACCTACCACAATCAATCATAATTTATCACATACTATGGTAACAGTTATTAAGAATAACAATTTACAATGATTTTGTTCCAAAAAAGCTTTGTGTTCCTCTGTCTGCTTGTTAACAATTACATTGTTACTCATCATTGTTCTTAAAATCAGTCGGCCATTTTTCAGTTACACTTTTCTGATATTGCTCCACTCAGGTCACAAACACTGTATTCATTTATGTAGGAAATTAAGTAACTGGCTGGCTAATCCATCTATATCTGGCAAAAAGGGCCTGCTTTGCCCTGGCTTATCAGGAACATGAAAGACTTAGACATGGAAGATTTAGGGAGAAGCTGGAAGTGGACCTGGTGGTTATGATTTTCCCCAGGGTACTGCACATCCAACTGGGGCTAAGACACTCCACTCCAATACCAGCCGCTACAGAAACATATCACACAATAACAGAGACTTATTTTGAGCCTGGGAAGTGAGGTCTCAGACTTAGAGACAGCCATACATTTTTCCATTGTAAATATCAGTGGCGTATGCAATGTTTTTAAATGCAGACATTTAACTAAATATAGGGAAACTCCAAATTAAAGCAATGAAGCATGAAGCCATTTACTTTGTGAAAATCAACAAACTGAAGGACTTTTGTGTCCTCTGTCAGGAAGAACAGTCATCTCAGCTTTACTTAACATAAGTTATAAACGTCCTTCCTTGTGATCAATTCTAACCCACCCCCATATGGACTAAGAAATATTTCCCAGGGGACGTGGCCTTTTAGATGTGGGCTTGAGAGAAGAGTGTATATGTGAATTAACAGCAGTCTGCAGTGGTCTGTAGTAGTAGTGTTTCTATCAGGGTTCAAGGCACAGGCCAGAGCTGCACTGTCCAATCGGAGAAGGGGGCGGTGCATTCCACAACAGGAGGTGGACCTCTTGGGGGGAAGGAGCCAAAATGTTATTTCTGGGCCTGAATAACCTCTAAAAAAAGCACAGAAATACTTTCTTATACACATTCTTGTCCTTTCTCATCACTGCCTTCAAACAACAACATCCCTTTTGGGGAATAAAAAAAGCTTATTGGTAGTGCTCTGTATATGGGTCACACAGACCTTGTAACTATGCAGCGATTCCAGACAAGAGCAAGGCGGAGGATCACAATTTTGCACACAATGGCACATTTACACACACAGGATCCTAATCACACACATTGTCTCCTTCCACTTCTGTCTCTGTTAATTCTTTCTTCTCTCTCTCTCTCTCTCTCTCTCCCTCACACACACACACACACACACACACACACACATGTAGGGTAAACATATCCTTATGGGGACCGCTCATTAATTTCAATGGGAAAAATGCTAACGCTAACTATGACAACCTTAACCCCTACCCTGCCCTAACCATAACCATAAGTAACCAAACAAAATACAAGAGTTTTTGCATTTTTAGTTTTTTCATAGCAGTCACCAATTTTTATAAAATAGAGTTTTCCCTTATGGGGACCATAAGGGAAAAAAAACGGATATTTATCACGTTATGGGGACATTGTGTCCCCATAAGGATAGGTAAACCCGCTCTCACACACACACACACACACACACATTTTCTTGGCTTGTCAGTGTTACTCGGATGACTCCAGGGTGTCTTCTCTCTGATTGCTGCACTTGTTTACATCCTGAATACATATTAGCTCATCTGCTAGAACCCAAAGAGTAAACCCATCATAAACAGAAAACACTCTCTTACTAATTACCCATTTCCTGTTACTAATGAAGTGAGCATACCGTGTTCAGATTAGAAATCTGCTGTGGTCCCCGTTGTTTCTGTTTCCAGCTGTTTTTACTTTATCTCAAAACCCTTGGTGACAGCTAATATTAAATGATAGATCACCCATGGTAAGGACATTGAAAGAGAATTTAACAGTCACTTAATCTATAGGTTGTGTAACTAATACGGCAGCACTTCATGTATTATGGCTGGATTTTACTTCATTCTCTTTATTTTTAAATGTGTAATGAAGCCTGAGGCTATGCTTCCTTTACTGTCTTAAATGTACATTTATTGACTTGAGATAATTATAGGATAGCAGCTAGCCATTTAGCTGAGGATCTTCTATGACAGCTTGCTGCAGCACGTAATTCAACCATTTCAGATAGTATTAGCTGCATGCATTACACTCTGCTGATGGCACTGAGCCTGAAGCTTAGATTTTAAGTGCTTTGTATATGAACTGTCAGCTAAGTTATTATAAGTTTAAGAGTGTTGGTTTCCTGTAGCTGATTAGGGTAGTCAGGATAGAGTCTGATGTTCAGGAGAGAATTGATATAGGACCCAGATGTGAGATTTTTCTGTACTTGATTTGTGACTAAATTCATAACATTTTTCAGAAGCAACGTATCCTACACAGAATTGTATTCTGTTAAACACCATTTAAAAGGTATAACAGTCGACTGTTGTGTGACATCTGGTAAAGTTCAATTATTTTATCCACAGAAAACAGAGTGTACATGAAGACTTCTGTGCTGTACTGATCCCAGCAGCTTCTGAAGCGCCTCTCCCAGGCTGAGTGCAATAGTAGAAGGATGGTCCAGCTCTGCTGTCACCCAGATCTCCCCAGCAATGCTACTTCCTCACACTGAAGAAAGACTGACCGGAATAGTACCTTCTCTGATACACCAGCTTGTTTCTATAACAACGTGTTTTTATATCTAACTTCCCCACGAAGCACAGACAGTAGAGAGACCTGCTCTTCTCTTAAGTTGGGAGTAGTTCTCTGATATTCCAGTGTGGTTTCTTTCTCCTTTATTGTTCATACTGACTCCAAGATGCCCTTTCCTGAACTATTCCTGAAGCTCAGAGCAACATCTTTGCAAGGCCTGGACCTGACAGGGATTTTTTGTTAAGTCTCAGGACCTCCAAGTCAGGACAGGGGGTGGGTTGTGGGGAATTAAAAAAAAAATCAACAAATGAATCCATGTGCATTCTACTGATTGTCCACACCAGCTGTTTTCCCCATCAGTAAATGGGCTGAAACAGAAGAGTGCGTGAGAACATTTTTGTTTGTCTTGTTTTCTCATTCTCCCCCTCTCTGTTTTGGAAAGTAGTGATGAAGGCAGAAGAAACCCACTGTCCTGCTGTTAGCTGATTGGCGTAATATTGGCTCTCCCTCCATTTCAAATGCTCCTGTTTACCTTCTGTGTGCATTTTAATCAAGATTCTGTTTGAAGGAAGATGTGTTGAAACCATTCAATAGAGCAGCCAGCAGTTTCCCTCTTTTAATGTATGGCATATGATCTTTATGCTGAAACAAAAAAAAATACAGGTTTTTGTTTCACCTTTTGTTTTTGATAAATTCTTATGAAAGTGCTACTGTGTATGTTATTGTGATATAGGGAGGAAACATTTTAAGTCAGAAAAGATATCTTACACATCTGATTCAAGCAGAGACAATAAGTAAGACACTGGATAAATGGAGAATTGTGTGGTAAAAAGGGTTCCGTTCAGGTATAATGTATATTTTATCATTTGTCTATATTTCTTTGCAATGACAGAGAGGTAGCTGTCAGCGATGTTGGTCTGTATTAGGTTGTAACATTCCTGTACACAGGACCAACTTGTGATGCTCAGATCAAATAACACACCCTCAGGATATTTAGCAGACTGTTTTTAGCAATAAAATGGTGAAGTGCAGTGTTTTGTTGCTGTCATCAGTGATTCATCTGCAGATAGGATGACCTGCATCGTTTTCATTAACTCATTTTCATTCAGAGGCCCGATTTTCGCCCCCCTGCCCGGAGTTACCACTCTATGGCATCACCCTCAGGTGTGTAGTCAATGTTATTTATTAAAAAAAAAAAATACAGGTAAGCAGGTAAATGTAAGCAGGTAAATTTTCCAGGGGGTGGACAGGAAGTGATTCCCACCCCCTAATATGGCGGATGAGTCTCAAAAGGTGAGCAGTCTGTCCCCATTATGAGGTGTCTACAGTATGATGGCACAGGACCCAGTAAGGATGACATAAGGACATCATCTGTCCTCAAGCCTCCCTGTGTGGGATGTTGGGTGCAAAGTCACCCAGAGGCCTTTACTCCTAAGCACTGTCCTTCCAAATTGGGGGGGCACTGGCAGGCCTAAAGTGGATCCAGATGAATATTTCATCAACATGTTGACAACAGTTTCTTTAATCTGTCGATTGCACTCTTTTTTTTATGCCACTACGTTAATGACTTTTTAATATAAATATAATTGCACTACAGCTGATATGATCAGTATGAATGATTTGGAAGAGGCAAAGCTTGGAGTTTAATGCTAAAAGAGGGAATGAAATCTCAGCCATGACTTTGACGTGAGGAGCCATCATCATAGCAGGTACCTGCAGAGATTTAGGATCTAATGTTCTGCAGACTATAATATAGCAACCAACATGATCACAGCATACATCAGGCTAAACACTCGGGGCTTTCTCCGTGTAATATTCTGAAATGCCGTTCCTTCTTTTGAGGTGTCTCCACTATAATGATACACTACAATGATAGCTCCAGTGTAGTACAAAGTACCCTAATTTTCTGAAAACTCACTGTACTAGGGTCGTACTCATTCATTGTTTCAGTCTGTTCCTTATCCCATCCCTTGAGACTTTTTGGTGTTGTTCAATCTCACAAGTAGTCTCTAATTCACTAAATGACTCACACTAAGGAGCACTTCAGGTTCTATGGTTTGCATATTTGCGTAATTCAATGCCTCGTACACACGCTTCACTAGCATCTACTTAGAAAAAGTGACTTGTGCACCTGCTGTCCCAAAAGGCCCGCATGTTCACACACTTATGCAGGTGGATATTTATTGTAGCCATTCAGGCGAAGCACCTTGATGAAAGGTCAAGGTCTTTACCCAATGCACCACCTGCTACAGTATTGGAGATGATGCAAGACATGCTGTGCGTGGATCACGCCAAATGCTGGGGGACGTTTTGAAATCCATGCTGAACATGCTGATGTGGCTCTTAGACCTGAATTATATTAAAAAAAAAGCTCTGCTAGCTGCTGACCACACAGAATTATCAATCCATCCATTTTCCTTGCATCTGTTCAAGGTAGACGATCTGGTGCCTCTAAATAGCCCATAGTATGTTTGTTTGGGTGCCTTGGCATTCATTCCAGTCTTCCCCTGCCCTGTGGCCTGTCTTTCGTGGATTGGCTTCCGACTCCCTGTCATCCAACACTGAATAAGAGGTTGAAAACTGGGTAAATGGAAAAAAAAACACATTTTCTTCTGAAAATGCTCCTGTTTGAGAATGAGGTGGTGACCAGTGCCAGTGCTACTAATACCCACTAGAAAGCCCAATAGGTTTGACGGAACTTTGTGTGATTCAACTTCATCTAACTTCATCCTTCCTGCAATTTGATTACTTAATTTCAGGTAAATATTTAAGTTTCCTGATTCAAGGACACAGGATGAAATGTATTAAATAAACTGATACGGTAAGTCATTGAATTCTGTGTGAACCCTCTATCTGGGTCAGCGCCTAGGGCTTTTTATTATATCTGTTGACAGTCCTTGAGTGCAGACTCGCCTGTGTGTTTGCTAGGGATGACACGGTTCATGGAAAAAAACCGAACCGTTCGGTTCGCTTGTCTCGGTTCGGAGCATGCATGCGTCGCACGGTTCGACGGTTCATGACATGCGCAATGTAGCCTCGTGCCCCGTATGTGACGTGTCGCGCGAAAGAATAGGCTATATGCACAGAGCGGTGGGTTCCGGTAAAAGTTCAGCCA